GCCTGAGCCACCATGCCCAGCCTTGTTTTGTTTTTTGAGACAGGGTCTGGCTCTGTCACCCAGGCTGGAGTGCAATGGTGCAATCTCAGCTCACTGTAACCTCTGCCTCCTGTGCTCAAACCATCCTCTCACCTCAGCCTCCTGAGTAGCTGGGACTATAGGCACATACTACCACACCCAGCTAATTTTTGTATTTTTGGTAGAGACAGGGTTTTGCCATGTTGCCCAGGCTAGTCTCGAATTCCTGGGCTCAAACAATCTGCTGCCTCTGATTCCCAAATTTCTGAGATTAGAGGCGTGAGCCACTGTGCCCAGCCAGTACATGTTTTTTTTTTTTTTTTTCCTCTAAAGATAGGGTCTTGCTATGTTACCCAGACTGTTCCCGAACTCCTGGGCTCAAGCAATCCTTCCACCTTGGCCTTCCAAAGTGCTGGGACTACAGATGTGAGCCACCAAGCCTGGCTAAGACACCACGCCCAGCGCTAGCCAATATACTTGTTTTAATGTACAAATTGGACTCTAGCATTCCTCACACTGAAGTATTTATGGGTAAAATTACACATCTGGGATTTGCTTTAAAAGACTCCAGCAAAACAGAACAAGTGTAGATGAAGATTGGCAAAATGGTATGCTTGAAGTTCATGACAGGTACGTAGGGGCTCATTATACTATTATCACTAATTTCGTGTGTTTGCTATTTTCCCTAATGTTTTACAATGTAATTGTCAGGTTATCCATTGTTTTGGAAAAATGTATTGGGCAGCTTCACTTAATTTGGGAAACACTGCTCACGGCAAGTCATTTAGACTTTGGTAACACACGTGAGGGAGAAACGGATCTGAATTCCAGTTCTGAAACTGAGGTGACAGTTTCATTAAAGGACAGCAAGGGGACAGCGATCATCCCCGCAGAGTCAAAACAGAGAATAATGGGACCAGGCACCACTATGACAAGTCAAAAACCCCATCTGGGCAGAGCGTGGTGGCTCACACCTGTAACTCCAGCACTTTGGGAGGCCAAGGTGGGTGGATCATTTGAGGCCAGGAGTTTGAGACCAGCTTGGCCATCACGGTGAAACCAAGTCTCTACCGAAAATACAAAGATTAGCCAGGCGTAGTGACACATGCCTGTAATCCCAGCTCCTTGGGAGGCTGAGGCAGGAGAATTGCTTGAACCCAGGAGGCAGAGGTTGCAGTGAGCGAAGATCACGCCACTGCATTCCAGCCTGGGTGAAACAGCAAAACTGTCTCAGAGGCGCGCACACACACACACGTTAATTATGGCCCATATCACCTTCTCCCTCGGATTCCACTCCTCTAGTTCCAAGGAATTGCTAACACTGGGCAAGTTCAGCCTAGTCCTTCTGTGAGGACAGAGGACGTCGGACTCATCTCCATGAGACTACCACAAACTGTAGTTGAAAGCTTTATTTGTCTTCACTTAGGGTAAATGAAAAATTTCAAGATTTGGCTACAACTTCATTATTCGAAAAGTAATATTTTACAGAAAGAGAGGTTGGGGTACTGGTTCTGAAGACAAAGCTTAGATTCAAGCCCAGCTTCACTATTTATACCAGTCCCCTGATTTTGCCGTTTCCTTATGATATAAGGCACTCAGGAGCACAAACCAAGCACACAGTAGGTGTTCAGTAAGTGCTGGCGTGATGAAGTTCAAACAGCAACACTGGTAAACTAAGTTCGGATTTCAGAGGTGGAGACTGTGTATGCAGCCTCACAGCTGAGTGGATGCTGTGGTGAAATGTTTAGATCACAGGCCTTTGAGAAGAATTAGGAGGATGTTAGAGGAGTGGACCTCCTGTGGCACCCAGACATAAACGTTAAAGGAGGCTATTTCATCATACAACAACTTCCGGACTTCTAGAAAAGTGAAAAGAGAGGTTTGGGTAAGGAAGATGGAAGCCTTCCCACCACCCTGCATGCTGACCTAGGGCATCCTTCCTTCTACTCTGTTGTTAGATCCTCACGATGGCCAAAAAAAAAAAGCATTCCCTTTTTTTTTTAAATTTTTTATTATTATTATACTTTAAGTTCTAGGGTACATGTACATAACGTGCAAAAAAAAGCATTCTTTAACCTAAACCATCCCCATGGCTCAATCTCTACCCCTTCATCACCAAGGAAAAGCCACTTCTCTTACTTGAAAGATCTGCTGTTCACATAGGCAAACACTACCACAAAGGCTCTCCATCATCCGAATGAAGACACCAATCAAGGACTTTTACCGCAGCTTTGTTTGCCACATTCAAATTACACAATGTAAGGGGTAAAGGGTACAATACATAAAACCCCCAGCATCAAACAAGCCAAACAAAACACCAGCATCACACATTTCCTCTAAATTCACAGTACAAAAGCAAATTATGGAAATGATGCAAGAGGGAATAAACAATGGCATATTTTCTTCACATCAGTCATTAATATTTATTCCCCTGTGAAATTCATTGTTCTAACTTCCATTATTCAACGTGGAAGTTCTGTCCTTGAGGACACCTAAAATTATGCTATTATATGGCAGCATCAACGGTATCCTTGGCGTTGGGAGAAAAAGCCAAGCTTGCTCTCTATACAAAGCTTGTTCTTTGTACAAAGTTGTTGCTCCATAAATAGTGCAACAATAGGATCAGGCTGAGTGCAGTGGCTCACGCCTGTAATCCCAGCACTTTGGGAGGCCAAGGTGGGCAGATCACCTGAGGTCAGGAGTTCAAGATTAGCCTGTCTAACA